CTTCTTGCCCTCATTTTATGGATGGGGAAAACTGAGGCCTGGGAAATGTACAGAAACATGCCACTGCACCAGTGTGGGGAAGGAAACAGAGGAAAAGCTCAGAATGAGATCCATTTTCCTTTCCTGTCTCCCTCTCTTAAGGTCTCTCCTCAACCTGAGCTCTTCAGAGGTTCCCACCTGCATTTTCAGGTTATAAAAGTGCACAGGCACAGAAAGGAAAATGGAAAGAAGGAGGCACTCATGACTATGTCCATGTGCAGTTGGTCCATGCTCTGTCTGATTTTATTTGGTGACCATTTTATTTTACATGGTGAGGATCGCATGTGGATATACTTTTTCTTTTTTTAAATTTAATATCCGATAGTATCAACAATCATTTAAAAAACATTTTATTTACTTATATATTTTAAAAAGGGAAAGGGTGGGAGGAGAGAGAGAGAGAAACATAGATGTGAGAGAGAAACAGCAATTGGTTGCCTCTTGCATGCACACTGACCGGGGACCAAACCTGTAACCCAGGAGTGCGCTCTGACCTGGAATCAAACTGGCAACCCTTTGGTCTGTGAAATGATGTTCAACCAACTGAGCCACACTAGTCAGGGCAGCATAAACATCCTTGCACGATACTGACAGCTCTGCATAAGTATAACCCTGAACAGCTTCATTGGTATCCTTGTCCTACATCAGTTTCTTGTTTACATAAGCAATCCAATAATTTGGGACATGTTCAATGTTCCCACTGCTTTGGTGTTGTGATGAATTCAAACTTTGACCACATTTTGGATCTACCTGAATTACTGGGTGAAAAGTGATGAATAAGACTCTGGATTCACCTTGTTTAGCCTTCCTTCTATAAATGCTATAGCAATTTATAGTCCTGGAGTGAAGACTGCAGGACTCACTGCATCTTTTCCATACAGAGGTTTTTGTGTTTGATTTCTTTTTTTTTCTTTCTTTTCTTTCTTTCTTTCTTTCTTTCTTTCTTTCTTTCTTTCTTTCTTTCTTTCTTTCTTTCTTTCTTTCTTTCTTTCTTTCTCTATTTTTAGAGAGAGAGGAAGGGAAGGAGAAAGAGAGGGATAGAAACACAAATGTGTGGTTGCCTCTCACACGCCACCCTACTGGGGACCTGGCCCGAAACCCAGGCATGTGCCTTGACTGGGAATTGAACTGGCAACCCTTTGGTTCGCAGGCTGGCACTCAATCTACTGAGCCACACCAGCCAGGGCATGTGTTTTTTTTTCTTTATAGGTTTTGTGCTAATTTTATTGTTTTATTAGAATATAATTTATGTTGTAATATGACTTTGAAAATGGTAAATTCAAATATGGCTATAAGTCATGAATGCCTGTTTGCCCTTTATTTTTATTATTGACACTATTACAGATGCCTTCATTTCCCCCCCTTTTGCCTCCTTTCCCAGCTCCCACCATCCCTTTCCTCTGACCATGATCAGTCATGGATGTCTTAATTCCAGCAAATTTCCTGCTCAGGGCATAGGGACAAAGAGATGGGCATATGGAGAGATTAAGAATTAGCCTTTATGGTTGCAGTTATCCATTTGTGATACCTGCATACGTGGGTATACAGAACTGGTACACATTTTGGCACACAATGGAAATATCCGGAGGACACCAGGCCTTACAGTGAGCTGTTGCACATCAGTGGATCTGCTGAGTCACCTTGGAAGGGAGAGAGCAGATTAGCTATGGCCTCAGAGCAACCCGCCCTGGGTCTCAGACACTCAGAGGTTATCAAGTCTTTGCCCAGGCAGACCCCAGCCTTCCAGCCTGGCCAATAGGAAGAGACTTATTGTATCTGTGAACCAATGGGAGAACAGGAATTAATGCTACCACAGGGAGGAGAAATCAACTGCTCAGGAGACACTGGCTTAATCCCTGGCCGATGTGACCGGTCACAGGGAGGGGGTGGAGCTGTGTTAAAGAAGTCAGAGCCTCATTCATTTTGTTTCCCCCCCTGAAAAACTCGTTGTCAAGCCACTGGGAGAAGGTGCATTACTTCCAGAGAATCTGAAACATTTCCTTACCCAGGAATGGGGGACAGGGCAGTCTTGAAAATCAAGGTCAGGACTAACACCCTAATTTACAGGATACCATAGAAAATAAAAATTCAGACCAGGTTCGAATATACACAGTTTTAGACAACAAGAGGAGTGCCTTAAACTGAGTGTGGGACTGTCTTGAGTGTGGGGCTCTGGGTCCCAGCACAGCTTGCACAATTGTGAATTAGGCCCTCAGTGGGGGATGAGAGGAAACACCTGATATTTAGAACACACATCCCTGTCCCATCAATCCTCTAACACACACCATTTCACCACCCCTGAAAGTTCAGAGTGCAGATGTGAGCAAAGACAGTGGGGGTACTAAGAGGTAAGGGATGAGAAAGGAAGAGAGAGGAGTAGAGAGAAAGATGGGAAGAAGAAAGGGAAGGAAGAGGGAGAGAGAGAAGCAGATGTTGGGATGTGAAAAAAGAGGCAGAGATAGAGGAAATAAGAGGAGTGACAGAGGCAGATTGAGAGAGAGAGAGAGAGAGAGAGAGAGAGAGAGATCCCAACACAGAGAGAACACAGAGGAAAATGAGGAAATGGAATGAAATGTGAAGAGCGATGAGGGAAGATGACTCTCACAGACAGAGAGGGGATTATAGAGTAAAGGAAGGAGGACAAAGAGGTAAAAGGGGCTCCTTCTTTTCTCAGAACCAAGACCAGATCCAAAAATATATAAGCGAGACATTAGCTTCAGTGATTGCAATGAGTATTCTAATGCTTACCTTAAAAACAAAATTCCAGGACAAAGCAGAATTGCAATTTCAAGGAAACACAGGGTCAGTATGGTGCTCTGCTGAACCGTATAGGAGCCCAAAGCAAATGGCAAATCCAGTCTATTCTGATTACCCTTTGTTGAAAAGTTTTGTATTTTGTTTGTCATGGACTTTTTTTTTTCCATGGATTATTTTAAAAATATTTCATTGGAAAAGGATTTATTTTGGTCACTGAGCTTTCGGTGCCCCTTAAAGGTTTGCTAGTAGCTCGTGCCTCCCTGCTTTTTTATAGGCTCACCCCATTTTCCCACCTTCAGTTTCTAACCTTCAACACTATGCCCACCCCCAGGGCTACATGGGCCCCCCTGGGCTCCCACTCTGAGCAAGGCAGAGAACTGAGCAGAGAGAACAGGACAGTGAGACTGGCCAGGTGCGAGGGGAGGCTGGGCATCAGGGCTAGGCCCCCAGACTCTGGATGGAAGGAAGACAGGCTCCACCCTGAGAGGAAGTGGGACCCAGGACAGGAGAGGAGGGGACTCACTTTGCAGGTTTGGGAACCTCTATTGGGGAAGCAGCGCACATTATGTGTCTTCCCAATTCGACATTGTAAAACGTTTTGCAGTTGATGGTGGGCATGGTTCTGACATTGAGCACATGAGCTCTAATGGATTCACTGCTGTTGGGGGATTTAGGGGGACAGTCAGAGGCTTGGTCCAGTGCACCCTTGAATAGTGATGTAAAGAGCCAAGGCCCTGGATGTTGAAGAAGATGGGGCTGGGTGACTCAGTGCTATGGTCATGAAAAGGGACATATTTCTTGAACTGCTGGTCCTGAGGGTGGAAAGAGCTTGTGTTTGACCTTGGACTTCTGGAACTGAGGGTGGAAGGGACTTAGGGCCTGGATACTTGGGTCTAAGGGAGGAGGTACCTAGAGGCAAACACTCTTGTGTCTGAGGAAGGTGGGAGCTGGGTCCTCCATACCTAGGTCTCTGGAGATGCATCTGAGGTGGCTGGGATCCTAAACTCCTGGGTATGTGGAATCAAGGCCTGGGGTGCAAGGATTATGGAACTAGGGGAGAAGTTCTAAAGGTCAGAGCTTTTGGGTCTGATGGCAGAGGGCCTGGATGCCCGGGTGCCTGGGTCTGAAGAAGGGGCTTGGGGATCTGGACTCTTGGGTCTGTTACCTGTCTGCTGGATCTGAGGGAGAAGGGAGCTGGGCCTGAGTGACTTGGTCCCAGAGGTCACCTTACCTACAAAGAGGGAGGTGATGCCTCAGATGGAAACAGTACATCTGGTCCCAGTGGGGTTGCAGTGGGAGGGCATATCAACTGTGCTCACAGTTGGTGACAGCTGGGCTGGACTGTGTAGCTTCACCAGCATGATGTCATGAGTGAGGGTGACATAGTTGTACTGGGGGTGGGTGAATGACTCTGTAGCTTTGGTCTCCAGGAGCTCCGCATCAAGCAGAAGATCACTGCCCATTTGTACTATGTATACTCTCTTTGAGAAACAGAAAGTGACCTTCAGAGGGAGACACTGGACTAAGAGATAAGGGCAAAGCCCCAGAGATAGGGGAACATAGACCTGGAACAAGGGGTCAGAGGCCCAGCAGGAGACATAGATAAGATCCCAAAGACAGAAAAGGAGTCACTGTGGCTCCCCTGTCACATACCTCAGGTGGCACTGGGGGACCATGAGCACCCACTGCTTGCTGACCAGCACGCCTGAACAATGGAACTCATTGTCATACAATAGGGCCACCTGCCACAGCTGCTTGCCTCTTGGACATGGAGATTTATTAACAATCTTTTCCTTGGTATTGTCGGCTGCATGGAGACATGGAAAGAGTGTGGGTAGCAGGCACCAGGGGAAGACTGAGGTCACAGTGGGTGGATGCTCAGAGACAGTGAGGGAGAGAGACAGACAGAGAGGTGTGGACTGAGCACAGGGCAGAGAAAGCTGCAGACAGAGATGGGGACCCATGGAGGGAGCCTGCTCAGGACCCAGGTGGAGTGTCTGGTCTGGAGGCAACCCCAGAGGCTGATGGGAGAGACACTGAGGGCAGGAGGCAGCCTGGAGGGCACAGGATCCCCAGGAGCCAGAAGGAAGCAGGAGGAAAGGGGCCCCAGCAGGAGAGCCCTGTTTGCCTGGGAAGAAGCTTCTGTGGGGCAGGGGTGGGGGCAGACGGGGTCCTGACTGGGTTTCTGTGAAGAGGGCAATGCCCTAGAGGGAGAAGATGGGGACAGTTACAGGCCCAGGAGCAAGGTCGGGCTTCCCAGTCTGGCCCTCATCTTCTAGTCCAGCAGCTCCCAGGGCCAAGGACAGCAGCAGGATCAGCAGGGGTGAGAGATGGGGACCTGCCATGTAGTCTCTGGGAGCCTCAGGGGGCTGCCATGTGGAGGGAGGAGGAAGCATGTCTTTTGCTGGAGCTGGAAGGACAGAGTTCAGGAACCAGGAGTCCTGGTCCCCAGGCCCTTCTGTGCCCTCAGACCCAGGAGCCCTAGTCTGCAACCACCTGCTTCTTCAGACTCAGAAGTCCAGGCCGGAGATACCCTTCCACTCTGAATCTAGGGATTGAGCTTCCTCTCCCTCCCCATTTGTAATTTGCTATCCCACGTTCGTTTGAAGTAAAAGATCCAAAACTCCAGACCTCCAACCCCCCTTTCTCACAACCAGAAGTTTTGGCCCTTATTGCTCCCCCCTTAGGAGCAAGAGCCAGATGTGCATCCAGACACACCTACCCCACCCAAAATGCGACTCCTTCTCACCTGCGGCAGGTCTGACCTGATCTACATTTCAGAGCAGGTTGGGATTCAATGGTGTCCAACCTAGTGCAGAGAGTTCCTCATGTAGCACACCTGCCTCAATCCCCGCCCCCCCGGGGGCCAGAGCACATGTACAGTTCAGCTCTGGGGTGCTCCTACCTGCATTTGCTCGTATCTGGAACCCCTGAGGCAGCTGAACCCAGAGGCCCGAATTCTACCTGCACCCTCACTGCTGAGGTCAGGGTGGGTTGTACCCTGGGCGTTTGGCGCCAGTACATTCTGCCTCCACCATCTCCGCTGGCAGCTATGCAGGGAGGGGCCAGATGCTGGTGCTGAAGGCCAGGATCAGGGGTCAAGGACCTGCCCAGCTCAGGAATGGACTGTGTCCTAGGGACACTGCTTTGGCCATTTTTCTTGTCCTCATCCCCTCGCATGCATGGTCCAGAGTCTAGATGCTGCACCCCAACTCTGGTCAGCCTGTGGGAGCTTTTCCAGGCTGAGTCTCAGATGTGGCTTTGAGCCTGAACCTAATACCCACCCTAGGAGAGGGTTATGAGTGAGTAAGAGAAGGCTTTTCTAACTCCACCCACTCAATGCTCACTGTTTCACTCAGATTTCTATACATGTTATGTATTTGTAACAAAAATATCTGTACTCAACCTTATGTAATGTAACTTCTCATTGATTGTATAAAAATCCTAAACAATTGTTCCTCTTAGTACACTAGGATCATTTCTCCCTTTTTTAATACTGTTATATAATGTTCTACAGTATCATTTTTTTCCCTCTGCTTTAAGTGATCTCTTTCACTTTGAATCATTTTCATTATAACAACGGTGGGATGAATTTCTTGGTGTATTCCTCTTTGGTCATTGTATTATTCCTTCCAGTGATAGCCTCTGAGCATTTTACTCTGAGCCAGAATCTATTCTGATTCCTGAGGACATGGCGTCAAGGAAACAGCAAAAATCCCTTCACCGAAGCTCTTACTCCAGTGGGTGGAGAACTTGAATAAAGAAATGACAACTTCAAATTTACAGTTTTTCATGTGGGGGTACATGCTATGGAGAAAAATAAAACCAGAAAGAGAGATAGGGCATTATTGGTTTCCCTTTCTTTCAGCAACCCTTGTGGTTATACTCTTAGGAAAGGTGGTTGGAAAGACTCCATGTAAAGAGGATGTTTAAACAAAATCTTGAAGGAGCAGGTGGATGGATTCATGTAGCTACTTGCGAATCACTGAATCCTAGACAGAGTGAACACCAAAATATGTTTCATTCCTCAGTGTGAGCCCATTTTTTATCTCAGTTCTGACCTCTAATGAAATTCTCTCTCTCTCTCCCATAATTTGGCCCCATAATAGACAATATTGTGGGTTACCCAAGCATTAACTCAATCTGCCATTTGTCAGAACCTTGATTTAGTTTGGGTAATCTGCTCTGCTCATGGAGAGTACAGAGAAGCGTTACTGCACCAAACACAGAGCCATATTCTGCTTTGCAGGGATTGGTTTAGAAATGGACATGCGATGTAGTGAGGACCAATGGGGAGTGAGGGGGAAACCACTGGGTTACTTCTGGGAACTGCTGTCTTCTTTCCAGGGTGAGACACAAGAGGAGTTCTCTTTCTTCTGTTAAACAGTTGTCCCTTGTGGATGTAAATTCTGAAAGTAAGGCAGCCCTCCTGGAACCATGGAGGAGAGTTACCAATAAGACAAAGCCATAGCCCCAGAGATGGACAAACAAGGAGATGGAGATAGTCAGGGTCTTTGGTGAGTTTGCTGAGCTAGTGAATTAATGTTCTATGGAGCCCCTTCATCTCATGTTGTCTTCAGGTTTGTGTTCTGGTTCAAAGTTCTTTTTTGTTCCCATACCCACACTGTTTTTGCTAAGAGCTCTCTATGTTGTGTCCAAATTTCATATCAAGTTGAGAATTTGATCCCAAACCATAAATCCAAATCTCAGTCTAACTGGAATCTCCATGTGGAATCCAAATTAACAAACAAACCCAACCTGACCTGCAGTGGTAGCTCTTTCTCCAGTTCTCTTCCCACAGCCTCTCCCAATCTCAGCCATTTATATGCTTAGAAAATATATACCGAGATCAGCTCCGTACCAGGCTGGGCTAGGTGCTGAGGATACAGTGAAGCACAGACCTGGACACACCGAGCCCCTCTCTACAAGGAAAGTAGTCAAGCATAAAAGGAAAAATAATCAAATCATTGGAATCCAAATGCACATTTATCATTTCAAGGTGTGCTCTGAAGTACAGGTGCAGAGGATCGTGAAAGCCCTTCCAGGTGGATTTGACCCAGGGAGGAACAAAGAACTGAGAGTGCAAAGACCTGTAAGCATGAAAGGACTAGAAAACATGGAAGGGGCCTGGAGAGTACCATGGGGAGGAGACAGCAGGTGCAAAAGTCCAGAGATGGAATGAAGAAGTGATGGAGCTAGGACAACCGAGATTGTCTGGAACCCGACAATGAAGCACCTTGAAGATCATGGTGAGTTGGTCTTTACTGTATGCACAATAATGAACCACTTGGCCTGTATTCATGGGACTGACATAAAACCTTTGTTACTTCACAATATCAATCTGGCTGCCCTGTGAAAGAAGATAAGGAGTGAATGTGGAATCATGAAGGGATCATTACTGCTGTCCAAGTGAGACATGATGGTGACTCAGATAAGGCCATTGGGGAGGAACCGATGGTAGGTAACAAGTGGAAGGATTCATGAAGCATTTAGGAGGGAAAATCAACAGACTATGGTGATGGATTGAACAAAACTTGTGGTGAGGGAGATGGAGATGTTAGGGCTTCAAGGTCTCTCGTTTGATGGACTGTGTTGCCATTCAATGAGAAGGCATGGTCGGATTTTATCAAGAGCTTATGACGGGGTGGGCAGCACTGCAGTCCCTGATTTCAAGCATAATTCTAACTTCAGTCCTTACTTTGATACAGCTGTCAACTGTAACCTCTACACAAGTCTGAGACTTAACCTGTGACCTCAGTCTTAACTAATCCTGAACCTCAATACTGCTTTATTCTTGACCAAGTCCAATTTATACCTCAATGTACTATCTACTTCCTGACCAAGCTCCTGACTCCAAATATCAACTCAAGCTACATCTCACACCTCAATCTTGACTTGAACCCTGAACCCATAGTTATAAACCATACTAAACCTTGTCCCAAACACTAGATGTCTCCATGGAGTGGTCCCCAACCTGACTCCAGGTACAACCCAGACTTCTCTCTGCCTCCCTGTCCTCTTCCAGAAAGTCCACATTGACGTCCTCTTCACAAAACCATCTCCAGTTCACCTCTGACACCAGTCCTGGCACTGTGATTCCAAATCCCAGCCCCACACTAATTCTCAACTCAATTTCTACCTGAAATTCTAACCTCGTTTGCACGTGCAACCCTTTCCCCACCCTTCTGTCAACTCTACACACTTCCTGGACTCTTCCTTTCACAAAATCTCTAAAATAGTCTTTATAGTAAAAAATCTACTCAGTAACAGCATAGTAATGTTGACACAACATTGAGTACATCAATCCAAGCCAAGTTCTCAAAACTACACCTCAAGACAAATGGAAGGATTAAATAAAATGGTGAAAGAAAAATGGATTGGCACTAGCAAGAACTCTATAAATATTATCACCTTTCACATCATGCAAAAAATAAAACACCTTTCACTTCTTGTTTTATGTTTAGTGTGATGTGTCAGACACTTGCTGAAACTTGTAATTATTCCTCACATAGATTCAAGTGAGTATTGTCTTCCTTGTTTTTATAGATGAGAAAAAGGAGGATTAAAGTAGGTGAGGTCCCTTAAAAGAAGTCATTCAACTTAGCAGCCAAAAGAGGCAGAATTCGAATGCTGGGAGCTGCTGATGGTCTCACAATTGCACAATCCTGCGCTCTGCAAGGGTCATTTTCCCGAGACACCCTCCTATATGGTCAGTTTCCCAGTTGGTTGGAACAAATTCAAAACCCCATGAGTCTATTCATAATGTAACCTCCATCATCGACAATAATCCCCAAGCCAAGTCCTGATGTGGCCTTAGTTTTAGTCCCTGCCTTGTTCCTAAATCCCATCCAGATACCCTCACCTATACTACCCTCACCCTCAGATGTATCTCCTGAACCTATGCTTGATGACTAATCTTCCAGCTCGTGGTCACACCTGAGAACTGGAGTCCAATTATCCAGCCAACTGTGCCTTGTTTTGGGGAATCCTGGACAATGGTCCTGGAATTTCTTGATTCATCACCCTGTGTGCTGAAGGCCAATTGTTTCTGACTTACTGGATTCACTTCCTCCTTCTTTAAAAATATCTCACTTCATTGGAAGCTATCCCCTCATATATTTTGGTGTCATAGGCAATGATACCTCTCTAAGCCCTCCCACCCATTTGGATGCATAAACAAGGGTGAGCTAACAAGATCATCACTTCTTTCCTAGAAATAATGATGGATACAAGAGTCTGAGAAGGGTCTCTGTTCAAGCTGGACCTGTGTGAGATCTTTCCTGGGACTAATATCAAGATGCCAGGAGAAAGGGAGTCATTGTTTTTGCTGAGTGTGCTTAATTAAGTCTGTCTGTAGCTGCTATGTTCTGTCCAAGTCTACAGGAGCTAGAATGAGATAAAAGAAGGAAA